GGAGGGACTGACAGAAGATATAGAACACTGTTTGCTTGAATGCCAGAAAACCAAACAGTTATGGACACAAGCCTTCCGGCTTTGGCTCTCAATCACTGGCAAAGTAATGTCGTCAGATCGAATCTCTCTCTTACTGGGATTACAGACTGACAAGGCATGGCAGGGATTTGAAGTCTCCTTCTTCAGAATTCTAAGACTGGCGACCTTATGGATGATTTGGAAGCGCAGATGCCAACAAACGCTTGACCACTCAACTATAGCAAGTTAGCAACCCAAGAAGATTGGGAAGGAGCCTTGCAAATAGTAGAGGTCGAATATAGAGGACGGTGGAGAAGAACCTGCAAGAAAATAGAAACGAATATTGCTAACAAGGACAAAATAATAGAAGCTTTCGTAAAACATCAGTTAGGAGAAGGCAGGATTGCCGAAATAAAACAGGGCAGACTCCACTTCTTTCAATGGCGACATATTCATCTAAGGAGGCAGGAGATAGACGCCCCTGGAAGCAGAACTCACCTTACGGATATATCAATAAGGGGGAGAGAATAATTGTAGGGCCGCGACAGTCTCTCGTAAATGAAACAGACAAAACAATATCAGCACCCACTATATGACACTTACACGTCAAGGCAAGGAGAAAGTTAGGACATAGTTATAACCTGAACTAGTAGCCAGAACCTAGAAGAGACGAATAAGCGAAGAAGTTAGGGTTTAGGGCTTTAGGAGTAATGTTTAAAAAGACCGTCGAAATATTACAACTAGTGAATAGAACAGACAAGAGTGACTAGGAAAAGCAAGTCTTGGACCGAATCTACGTCGTAAGCAGAATGAACACAACAGTATGCTTTACGATATATTATATTACCCTTAAGAATAGGATAAAACTTTAAAATGCGTACAACAGATGGCCTGATAAGCCTAGGGGATAAGGTTTAAGAAAACGATAAAGGCAGAAATAGCAGTGCAGTTAGGAGTTTCAGTACCCAATAGAGAATACTTGCCAGCATAATAAGGGAGAGGGAGGAAGGACATTACAAGATAAAGCCGACAGAGATTAAGAAGTAAGCAAGTTCATGCAAGGTTTTCAGCAATACTAAACATTCCCTTAGAAGCTAGCCCCAAATATTAGTCCTAGCATTCAGGTTTATAAGACAGTACTCAGCGGAAAGATCTAGGAGCTAGGCGTCTCAGAGGATCAGAAGATAGTGGATAAAGGCTAGCAGTCAGGTTTATCAGACAGCACTCAGTGGAAAGAGCTAGAAGCTAGGCGTCACAGAGGATCAGAAGACAGTGGATATAGGCTAACTTAGGCAGGGGTGAGGGGTGGTATATCCTTCCCTTTAGGAAGTAATCAATGCCGTCCACTCGGGCCTCTCAACCATAATGGGGGGGAGCGTGAGCGTGTTTTCATTGTATCTATATTTGACTTGCCGGGGGAATAGGAACCGGACTGTTGCTCCCCAGAATGGCAGGGGCCAGAACCAAGAGGTTCTGTTTAAAAAAAAAAAAGAAAAAAAAAAAAAAAAAAAAAAGACAGCTACTGTGGTGTTTGTAGTACTTTCGTAACCCATAACTCTTGGAACACAAACCTGAATCCGAATCCAGGATATATTGTTGCGCTACTCGTGGTCTGCTGGCAGTTCAATGAACATCCTTCCAAAAGTATGGGAACCCTGCTGATTCTTTGCAGGGGACCTGGGAAACAAAATAGATCCAATGAGTGGTACGAAGTGGCCCCAAAATATTTTTTTTTCTGTGGACTTACAATTTTCAAAAGGGAGGGGCACTTTTGGTTACCACGGCCTACCCTTTTTTATTACTATTTTATTATTATTTTGTAAATGCACCGCATCACACGCGTGCGCATGCGCTATGCGGCGCACGTGCGCAACTTGCGCGCATGTGATGCGCCGGATGTATGATATGCATCGATTGCTGGGTCATTTGCAGGCTTGCAGGCATAATTGGTCGAGGGATTCAGTAGCTCTGGGACAACGCTGCCACCCCGTACCGGCCCATACATGCGGGCCTGATGCATGGGCTCCTTATGACGACTGGAATCTAGGGTTTTCCCCGTGGGCCAGGGTGGAAGGAATACATTTATTTTCTTTCTGATTTGTATTTCCATCAGGAATTTCGCAATGACGCGCTGCCAAAGTTCATTCGTATTGCAATGTCGTTTGTGTTAGTCTGTCGCTCTGAGATGCTCAATAGACAAGAGCTGTAAGAGCAGTAATAACTCAGTTTTTGTCGTCTACGCTTGGGTTGGATTTCCAGGAGCAGCAGCTGGCAATATGGAGACGGAAGGCAGGGAGCCCAGTCAGCTACAGAAAGAGTGCCAAAGCCACTGGCTTGATGAATTAAGAGCCGCGGGGCATCCTGCAAGCTGCACAATCGTTCTGTCTTCAGCGCAGTCCGCCCGAGCAGTCTTCACAATGGCTCTGTCGTGTCTTCGTAAGGTTGGTTGCTGTAATCTACGCCCTTTGGAAATTCAAAAGTATGACTCGTCGTTGACGAAATTCAACCATAGTTGTTGCAGTCTCTACATCCTAGATTGGCATGTCGACTTACAGTCTGGTGTTCGCTGCGTGGATAGCAGGTATCCAAGATGCCTGTTTTGGATTCGATTACTTCAAAAAAATGTTCTTTAACTGCGCTTCAATTATAGCAGTGCCTTGCTTTTCTTTTCTTTGTTTTTTGTATGCTCTGTTCTATTGGCGGGGGGCAAGCACCTGCTGAAAAACGGGTCCAGCGTCCCTGAACAACATTGGATACCCACACATAACTCTTCCCCATGTTGCAGCCCAGGGAATCCTGACAGCAGTGATTGCTCCCTCTCGGAACGATTAACCATCAGTTAAGCCCACACCATTGTTAGACCTTCGCCAAGTCGTTTCCATTTCTACTGAAAGAAAAACTCTCCAAAAAGCAGTCAAGATTTCCTCTGTGTCTCTCTCCCCCAATTGTCTGTTACCAGTTAAGGCCTCCTATCTTTTGTCCGTAATTTTGCTGAGCCCGTTTCTTTGAGACCATTACAGAGCTTCCTCAGCTCCAACGCTGTAATGAGCAGTTCTTAGATAAGTAAGGCCCGTTGGGTGCCCTGTACCCCCGCAAGTCGTTTGGCCGGCACTTGCATCGCTGATCAGCTGCAGATGGAAACAAACAAGAGCGCTGACCCAGCGATATCGTCAATGTCCATGTGTCCATCCATGGTTGGAGGCAGCATTGATCTCCTTGAGGGAAACTGATCAGTGACAACGAAAGGTGCCAACTTGGATGCATGGAAAACAAGGCAAGTACGTAAGTGTGTAGGAATGCGAATCACATATGACGGTCCATCTGGTTGATCCCCTACAATGTCTAAGATCTCCCAGGGCCCTAAGTACTGGGGCATTAGTTTGCGTGAAATCCCCAACTCTTGACCTAGTTCAGATGATTTTACCCAGACTCATTCAGCTACCTGAAAGTTAGACTGTCGTTTGTGCCTGTTCTCAGATGCAATCATGGCATCTTGAGCTTTCTTAATGTGCTCTACAGCCTGTTGCAGCATCTGTTCGTATTTGACAGCAAACTCTAGGCTGCCAGGTGATGCATTTTGCTGTTGTTCAGGTAATAGAAAGTCCAGTGCTGATCTGGGCTTCCAACCGAGATGTAATTGGTTGGGAGTCATACCAGTAGTGCTATGCACAGCGTTATTGTCAGGCTGGCGACGGGAGGCAACTTCTCATCGCAGTCATCCTGACTTGGCTTGATGTAATGCAGAAGCAGGTGTTGTACTACACGGTTCATCTGTTCAGCCTGGCCATTTGACTGATGTCATTTGGAGCCGGGTGCCCATCTGTTGGGCTGTGCTTTGCCACAGTTCGCTGGTGAATCTCACGCAGAGATGAGCATTTTATTTTTTGAAATGCCACTTCACCCAACCCACCCAAAATTTTCTTAGTACATGCAACCCTTAAAAAAACAAGTGGACCTGCTGCAGCTACGCTGTGGGGAAGGACGATGACAAAACATTTTGCGAAACACCCACACCGGATGCTGTCATCAGTTGGAACCCATCTTCGCAATGCACCCCTAGCGGACGCTGCCCAACGTCGGAAAATGCGCCAGCAGTTGCAAAGTTTTCGCACGCACACACAGACACCAAAAAAAAAAAGTAAAAAAAAAGTGTATATTTTCATGTTGCAGCGGTAGATTCATTCGATTTTGCTGATCCTATCGATGGAAGCACCCTCTCTCTCTCTCTCCGTCTCTCTCTCTCTCTGTACCCTCTCTCTCTCTCTCTCTC